AACGGACATAAAAATGAGTTATCTAAATTATTTAATTATTTACCTTCTATTTGGGAATATTATTTGCAGTATCGGAAACAATATGAAAACACACGCATTACTTGTAGCTATAGGATTATTCTTTTTTAGACATGATGTAAGAATATCGAAATAAATAACAAACATTTATTATGATTAGAAAATATGAATGAATAGATGGTTTAAAAAGGTGATTAATACTCAGAACTTTCAGATTTGACAGTGTTGTGACAGTTTGTTTGATGTAGAGAAAGCTACCTGTTACTGAAGAACCAAAGGATTCCTTTAAAGATTTTCAAATTAAATATAAGAAAAACTTATGGATCAGTTACAAAAATCTGTTCCAACAAATAGGACAGGTAAAAGAAATTACATATTGTACAAATGTTACAGTTCCATATAAAATGGCCTGGTTAACAAAGTTTCCCAACTTGGGGAGGGGCATAATTGCACAAATGTGTCGTATGAGAAGTGGAAATTGCTTCATTTATTTAGATTGAAAGTGATCAATATAAATATGTGTTCATGTGGCAGTTTAGGCACCTTACAGCATGTGTTGTTGGAATGTACTAGATATCAAATGGAGTCCCAGTTACTTAGAAGTGAATTTCAAGGTGATCCAACATTTATTGATATGTTGTTCAAAAACTAAACTCAAAGACAATGCTTGCAGTGCAAAAGTTTTAAGCGACAACAAGGTCTCAAGTGTAGCTCGTTAATGTACATTATATTATTTAATCTGCTTGCTTGGATTGCATGTGCTTAGTGCGGTTTGATGCAGTAGTATAGGACTAGAACAATATAACTTTCGAACTCATGTGAAAGAACTTTTGAACATTTGACTTTAATTTGTTTTTTTCTCTTTTAACTATTGTTGCAGGTTCAGGAGCTATGAGCTTAAGCCCAGATGTACCTTAGGTATGGCTCTTGAACATTCAGTATAAATACACAAATCCTGGCCGGACAGCCCTGGTAGCTAAGGCCAAGCTAATGAATGGAAGAAGAAGACTAATTTTATGTTAATTTATTCAATTTTATGTAATTGCCAAGTATTGACTCCTTTAAAATTTAACCATGGTCGCTTTCCATTCCACTTATATAAAATTTATTAACTCTCCTGTCTATATTTGTGACACTGTATCCATTAGTGATCTCATCATCATCATCATCATTTTGGCTTTACAACCCTGTGTGGGTCCTAGCCTCCCCAATAATTCTCTTCCAGTCGTCCCTATCCATCGCCTTCCTCCACCAAGCACGTATTTCCATATTTCTTTCTTTCTTGCTTTCCATTAGTGATCTAAATCATATATTCCTCGAATGTTCTCTGAACTCTCGGTTCTCTTCAATTCTGTATCAAGAACTAGTTCACAATGAGTTTCCATGGGCGATAAATATTAAAGATCTCCTGTCGTCCTCAGATAAGTCGGTATTTGATTCCATCATAAATTTTATCAGAAATCCAAAAATAGTCGTATAGCTTAAAGAAATACGCAACATGAAACCTTTCAAATAATTCATGTTTCATGTTTTGTGGTAAATGGATTTTGTCTGATGCCATGATCTCTCCCACATACACATGCAATTCCTCATTATTTTTATTTAATTTTTAAAGTTCAGGTTTTTCAAATTTTAACAAAAGTTATGTAATTATATTCATATGGCCACAGAGGCTTACAGTTTTATTTTCAAGATCACATAACAAGAGCACTTTTTAACAATCCCGTTTATAGCCGGGCATATAGGCGGCAGATTACCCGGTTATGTATGTCGCTGACTGTCTTTTATGCGACACTATAGTCCAGCAAATAAAAAATGAAATAAGTCATGCGTGTGATAACTTCCATATATCGTATCGTTTAGCTGTCGCTGTGTCGTATATAGTCATTATATATTTAGTTTTCTCAGAGTTATAAGTACATTGTGTGTTAGAAGTACACCTTTGTGTTTAAAGATATATTACTTTTGTTAAATATTGTAAAAAGCTAGTACTGGCAGGGAGAATATAAATTTGAAAAGTTCTCGCAAACAGTTGCGACTTAAAGCTAAAAAGAATAATGTCTCTTTTCTCTATCGGCTTGGTTTAATGGTATATCAGGGTTCGTCCCTCAAGCTTTTCCTTAAAATGTTCTGTCCACCTTCTTAGTTTTTCTTGCTGTTTTGTCGCTCCTTATATCTTTTGTTTTTCTTTTCTGCTTCTGTTGAGTTTTACGTAAAATTTTTTTTCCCTGTTGGCTTATTTAGTTCTTGTAGTCCTTGAAGTTCTTTGTCCATATTATTGTCTCTCTTCTTTCTGGGTGGATTTTTTTCATGCATAGTAATTCTTCAGCTGCTTCTTTTATGATGTGCCTGCACCCTTCCCACTATTCATTTATGTTTTCACCTTTAAGTCTGTTTTCTGTCAAAAAGAACTTCTTTTGAAAAAAGAAGATACTTCTTAGAAAAAAAATCAGAGCATTAAATATTTAAAAATCCGTTATTTCCAAGCTCCAAATTTTTTCGTTTTGTTGGACTGTGTAATCATTCCTCTTCCATATCCAGTTATTACTTTAGGGGAATTTTCAGATTTTTATTGACTCCTGTAAAATGATAGTATTTGCTTTGCAGCAATCGTTGATTTATCTGCTAAATTCATCTGTTGTGTAAACACATTTCGACAATGTCGCGATATTGATTAATTCCGCTATTAAATAGACTAACTCGGTTATTTTGACACTCGAGAGAATTAAATTTTTCTCAGAAATAAACTTCGAATCTTGATATTGTCTCGTTCTGTTTACTGCCGAATACGTAGGATCAATTGCGGAGAGGATTGTATTTGTAACAATACGATTCTTGAAAACTCATTTAATAAACTAGATCTAATGTATTATTTTTATTATTATAAGCAGAAATATAATATTCTATTGTTACAATGTAAATTCACCAGCAAGAAAACACAGTTTCTTACGCGCAGCCAATTCAAAATTTCCGAGACTTCATGATTAGACACGTGATTTCGGCTATTTTGACCAGTTACGGCGCGTGATTTTGGTAACGGGAGCATGATCAGGGCAAGAGCCCAATTTCTCGGCCGGCCGATATTAAATGATTCCTTTTCAGAACACCTTTTCTGACCATGCAAGATTTTAGGCAATGAACTATACTCGTCGCTAACCGTTTGTTAATAAGACGGTTGTAACGACACTTTATAACATAAAATGGACTTTAATCAATAATTATTCTGGAGGAAGGAAAAGAAGAGACAAGTCCAAACAATAAATTTAACAGGTAAAAATTAAATGAATATATAGACAATAAAAATAATTTACTTTACTATTCTTGTGCTTCCTCAAACATAAGACGAAAACCAAAGCTTCTACATTCGTTGATTACAAAAGCCGTCGAATATTTCATCTATCTAAGCAAGGTATAATTCGATGATGTTGAAGAAATATTGTAGACTGCGAGTTAAGTCTTTTTATTTTATGTGAGCATAATTGATTTTTACACACACTGTTATTACAATGTTTCTTGAAAACTGAGTTTAAACGATACTATGCTATGTCGGCGAGTATTTAATTATGTGTGTTATAACCAATGCGAGAAATGGTTCTATTAACTGAGAACCGCGATATGATTGTCTTAAAAACGAGATAATTGTGTCGGGCATCGAGATGATTGTCTTGACTTAGGAAGAGATAAAATGTGATTGTCTAAGTAGAGACCGGGTGATGATTGCCCTGACGACGAGAGATGATTCTCTTACTGAGAGCGCGAGATAATTCTCATTGCATACGTAGAGAGCGCGTGATGATTGCCCTAACTGAGGACGAGATAGATCTGATAAGTAGAGATTTTTTACGGTACTTTTATGACATTACGACCAGATATTAAAAAAAGAACAACAAAAAATGCAGGTGTGCGGTTCAAATTTGTCTTCTGTGATTACAAAAAGCTTTGACCTCGTGATACTGACGTTAAGATTAGCGCAATAGCTGCCACTTCGGATATTGTATAAATAATATATACAAAAGGTCTGATTTATAAGCAGGTGTGTAAAGGGATCGATTCAAATTGTTTTTATTGACGTTGGCGTTGGATTGACGTCTCAGATATTATGCAAATAATCTCTTTTACAATATGTATGAAAGGATGAAAGGATCTGATTTTGGATCTCTCTCTCTCTTCAATCCTGACCCCCCAGGGGGAGTGTAGTGGTCGACGTGATGTCGTGTATTGTCCGTCTCCAGAGATCTCTGTCTCTGGTCATTTCTTTTAATTCATGCATAGGTCTTTGATATATTCCTGTAATTTGATCTATCCATCTTGTTGGGATCTTCCTCGTGATCTTGGGAACTGCAAACGCGAGATGAACTCGCTCTTAACGGATCGTTTTTTTTTTATTGAGTTTAATGCGTCGACAACTAATGGTCATTGGCAGTGAATTTTTACAGTCAGCTACCTAGTGTAGTGTGTAGAGTAATTATCTTGATACTTAGCAAAGTCGACGTCATTGTCTTTACTAAGAGACGCTAATTGTATCCGAACGTCTGCGGTCCCTCCGGTGAGTACCGATCGCACAAGGATAGAAATTATTTTCATTCATTAATTTTTAATAAACGAAAATTTCTCCACCCAGGTGAGATTCGAACTCACAACCTTTAGGTTCAAAGGTAGGTGCTCTTACCACTAAGCCACAGAGGGGGTTTGTCTTATCTTTGAAGGTTGCTTTAAATAGGATTTTGCATATTGTGTTACATTAGGAATATTGCTTAGGCAGACGTAGCACAGTGGATACACAAGAAGTATCCAGTACAATACATGCTGTCACTAATTCAAGGCATTAAGACAAAGGTTATTTAGCGTGATAAGAAATATGTGGTCATACATAAGCCAAAACTGCAAATTCGCCAACACAGATGACGATCCAGACGTTTATAGAATAAATAATTTAGAATAGATTTAATCGAGTATTTCCATTTAACGCTATTGTTACTTACATGGCCATTGGTATCGATTTCACTAGGTCTGGATTTCACTTCCTTTGCGAACTCTTTAGGATTAGGCACGTTGATATCTACATCTTTTGCTTTGCAAGGCGATTGTGATACGATTTGGTCGTTCATTAGCATGCGACAAGTGGGAGATGGAACACTCCTCGTCGGTGATACTGGAACAAATTCTGCAGCATTCGGGTTCAGCTGAGACATTGTATCGTCCTCTTCGGGGATGTCAGCAACCTGAAATTAAATATTCAAATAATTTTTAAACCAACTATGATATAATGTAGGTGAGAAATTAAATCGGACTAGTATTTTTAATAGACGTTTGATGTAATCAGGTAATTAACACAGAGAAAATAAAAACAATTAACAAAAAACAATAAAAGACGTGAAAACACTGATGATAACAAAAATATCGGCATTTTTTAAAACACAAAAAAAAACGATACCACCAATTATCGAAATAGAAGTATATAATATCGGTTTAAAACGTTCTCTTATGTTCCGATGTCCAGTTGCCACTCCTCTCGATTCATCTATAAGTCTTCTTCTATGTATTTCTGAAGTCTTTCATTTCTCTATTGATGAGAAGACCGAGAGGTCCAGATTAAGACTTGTTTTGGGAGATGTTCTTCAGACATTCTCTGTACATGACCGTACCATCTGAGTTGTTGGGGATCAATATCATCTAATATTGTATGTTTTACTTTCATAATTTCTCTTATTCTGTTGTTCGTTACTCTTTCTAATCTAGATTTTCCAGTTGAACGTCTCCAGAAATCCATTTCCGTTGCCTCAAGTTTTCTCTTGTATCTTTCCTTTATTTGCCATGCTGCACTACTGTAGGTAATTATACTTTTAATGATTGTATTATATATCTTGTGATTGTTATAATTAGAGATTTATTGATCCCCAAGGATACTACTGAGAAAGGAAATTGCTTTTCTTGCTTGGTTGTTTTTCTCCTCAATTGTGTCGTCAACGTTGTCTTCTTTTGTGATGATCATACCTAAATATTTATATGTGTTGCAATGTTTGATAACTTCTCCATCTTCCAATATGAGGTCCTGTTGTTTCCTGCCGATACACATATACTCGGTTTTTCGGATATTGATTTCAAGTCCCCATTTTTTATAGTCCTCGATAAATTTTCGAGTCATACACTCAGAATCTTGTGCTAGCACTAGTTGATCATCTGCAAATGACAAAGTGTATATGCTATTGTTGTTTGCGCTTCCACAGTTTTAGAGCCTGTTCTAAATAACTTTTAGATAATGTCGGTGAGAGACAGCAGCCCGGCTTAAGGTCTTTATTCATTTGGAATCCACTTGACAGATTATTTCCAACCTTTACCTTTGAGTTAGCATTAGCGTACAGTTCCTTCTTCGCATTTATTAAATTCATGCTTATGTTTGTTTTCTCTAATCATTTATAATGTGGTACTCTATCATAAGCCTTTCGTAGGTCTACATACAATAAATGTAGTTCTTGAATAACGGCTATTTTCTTTTCAATAATCTGTGTAATGCAAAACAAATGGTCAACAGTAGATCTACATGCCCTAAATCCTGCCTGTTCTCAGCCTCTAAGTCTTTATATTCGCTTTCTATTCTGTTTTTAATTACTTTTCCGTATATTCTACTGACCGAGTTTGTCTCGGCAATGCCTCTGTAATTTTCACATTCATCCCTTCTGCCTTTTTTTGTGTATAGTTGAGTCTTCCACTCCTCTGGGATTGTCATTCCATTAATGTAGTTTTTGGAACAGTTTGGCAAACTTGTATATAGTTTGGTTGTACCGTGTTTAATTAACTCTGCAGTGATGTTACCTGGACCCGGTGCTTTATGATTTTTTAGAGATCTATTTTAGATCTATATTTTTTATAACAGCTTATTCTTCTATTTCGATCTCTAAAAAAAAAGAAATAGAAGTCTAAGATGTTATAAAAACTATTAAAGATCAAAGGCTGCAAGACCAGGCCATTTATACTCATATGGAAACGTAAGCTCTGTGTTGTTCATATTTTGATCCGAACTGGAAGGTTTTGAGATATTAGAAACTTTCTAATATTTCAACTCTAGAAACTACTTCTTTCCACGTGATTGATAAAAAATTGATAATATAGACAACTGAACCATTTTTAAAAAACAAGCCAAATTTTAGAAAGCTGGAAAAGTTTCTTTTCTAGAAGAGAAAACTAGAAATAAACCTTCGCCTAAAAATTGTTTCTCAAAACAACAATTCAGTTACCTTTTTTGTTTCTAATTATTCTTCAATTTTAACTTTTGATTACACAGGACTGCAACCAAAAAGCTTAAAGCGAAAATAATAAAACATTTCTAGGACGTCAGGATTTTTCACAAAATACGAATGCAGATTTAGCCCATTTTATCTTGTCTAAGCTATGAGATCTTGTACTTGTCTTTCAGATATATACAGACTCATATTCTTCTAATCTGTAGCGAATATATTTGCGAAGAAAGTATATTTTGTATACCACCGAATAACAATTGGTGATCAAGACAAAGTTTGGATCCCTCATAAATTTGGCAAAGGGTGTGTGGAGGACCTTAGCATTTAAGGGCAAAAAGGAACGTTTTGGAGTACCTATATTCCACAATTTAAACCATATGTTACGATATTATCATCTAAAAAAAAAATCAATTACCGCACTGACTGAAAATCTTTAACTATTGAAAACAGTCGGTAATCGCACTCGCTCACATGGCCAAATCTGGAGAATATGTTATTGAAAATAATTCTTGAGAGATTGCAGCATCAACAATAACAGAACTGTGACTTAGGTACCTTTGCCCCATCTTCCTCCAATGGAATTATCAAATTATGAACTTGTGATATAAATATCTGTTCAAATCTACTATTTAACTACCACTCGTTGCGCGACACGATCTATTTTGACACCGATGTGTGACTCTCTTCACTTCGGGCATACACAAATCGGGATTTCCTTCGGCTGCCTTCTAAAACGATTAGGATTAGGATCGGCGCAAAGAGATCAACGCTCTTATAATTTTATAATGCAAGGAGGACCAGCAGAGAGTGAATGAAGAAGTTGTTCAAATACTAAAAAAAAATAAATCGATTTCAGAGTATTTAGTAGTGAACGAGAATAGTTTTTGAACGTAAGGAAAGCTTGTATTTTAAATTAATGTTATCTGTAGTTTGGTAACTTTCGCACAGTTGACCCAACTTCAATAGAAGTTTCAAGAACGCTTCGTTCAAGAGTTATCACAGGGACAGATAGATGAACACATACCAACACAAACAGAAAATCACTTTTAGTGTTTTAAAGACAGATTAACAATATGTGTAATAGTATACTAAATAAGACAGGCAATAGAAAAATTTAACAATAAATAAACTTAATATTATGTCACTGACCATGACAAATGGTGCGACAGAGTTACATAGAAATCTATTAACTGGCATGTTCCTGAAGTGACATAAAAACAGAATGAATGCATGTTGCAGAAATGGAAAAAATAATAATAAGAGTCAATGTATTAGGGAAAGTCTAGGTGTGTCACCCATTATGAAAAATAGCTGAGTATCAAGTTAGACACGACATGACTATGAAGGGGATTAATATTTTTATGACCAAAACTAGAAGCGTTTGAAGAAATGTACTAAATGAAGCCAACCCCGCCTATGGATAACGACAAAAAGATTGGTGATATTGATTAATATAATTTCGATGGGATCAAGTTAATAACTGATCAATGGGATTTAAGTAAAATATTTTATTACGCGTGCTTTTAAACGACTTTACGTACGAAATTGTCAGTTTTTTTGTTTTATTCTTCCAAAATATGTTTTAAACATATGGGGGGATTGCATCAAAAATACCATTGACTGACGTAATTAATTATGCCATAAAACATACAAACCTCAGAAAATATACGAGGGTTGTCTTTAGTTATTCCAGTCTTTAGTTGCCACCTGCAAAATCGTTGTTTAAAGGTATCGATGGTTTCTTCTCGCGACTTGAATCGCTGCCCAAGCATTGAATTCTTAATCTTTGGGAACATTTATTATGTATAAAAAAAAAATAGAAGTAACGAGTCAGTAAAAAAACAAATAACATCGTTGATAGAGACGGCAAACTGATTATCACTGATTTGGATAAAATAGTCAGATGGAAACAATACATTGAAGAACTATTTAATGATGAAAAGCCCGATCTTGAAATTAAAGACGTGGTGGCAGGACCTGACATAACTACGACGGAAAGGGAACTGGACGAAATTGAACAAGCAATAAAATTAGCAAAAACCAGAAAAGTGACGAAAGGTTGTTTTGCAGCAGATGGGCAGCCTTTTCTGAGCATTCGTTAACAAAATTAGTATAGCTAATTTGATAGCCAACGCACGATAATCGAGCAGGACACAAGAAGAAGAAATATGAATTACTTAGATTGATTATTCAAAGAAATATACAAAGAAGGAGAAACCGCACACTGGCTGAGAAATCTAAAAAAAAATAATTTTTTGAAAATCATTAGAACTGTTTAGAAATCTCGCTAATAAGATTAAGATAACGATGACCATTTTTACCCTCCGATACGAGAATTAACTAGAAAAAAAGTAATTAAATTTTACGTCAACACTGAACATCATTATGTCACACAAAAATTAAAAGACAATTAACTTGAGAAAGGCAATGAGCCGAAGCAGCTGTAGTGATAATAGTTTATAATAAATTTTTGGAAGTTTTGAAAACAAAGTTTTCAGTATTTTACTGTTGTACAAAAAATTAAGCGTTTTAAAAAAATCTCATCGGTGTTATATTTGCTACTGTACTCATTTTAATTCCCCTCAACCCTATGCTCTATATATGCAGTGTATAAAGCCCACATAGCTAGAATAACATAAAAAACAGGGACCCCTATCTATATTTTCTAAAGGTTACCGTAGCGCATCGCAATAAATGACATTTTTATATTTAGTATATTTTTCAAGTTTTGATATGATTCCAACAAACAGAAATGCGTAACATTCATTATATTATAATAACAATTGTACTTCATTCTAGTTTTCTACCTGCATATAAAAACGTAATGTATAATGATAAGATTAAAATTATTAATGAACTTGTAACGAACGATAAATGTTACTTAAAAACTGCAATCATCTACATATCTACAGCACCGCATATAAATTAGTTAATTGTTATAATACAATGTAATAATTGTAATGTAATGTAATAATAATAATAATAAAGTTTAAGTAATAATAATAAGTAATAATAAGTAATAATAATAATAAAGTTTAACAAATGAAAACGGAACTAACTTCGGAGTTCGTGCGAAGAGTAAGACAACTAAATCGGTCATATCTTAATAGTAAAAATTTGTTTAAGGCATTAAATACGTACGCCTGTTCCGCGCTGAGCTACTCATTTGGTATTATAAAGTGGCCAAAAACGGATATGAGGGTCTTCAGCGCAAAGTAAGAACACTTCACACAAAGGCGCAAAAACATCATCCACGTAGTGCAGTAGAGAGAACAACATTACCGCGGTATCAAGGGGGAAGAGGACTTATGGATATAGGTGAGCAATTAGATAAACAAATTGCTAATTTAAGATCTTTCAGGTACAGGCTGAGACATCTACTTTACATCGAGCAATTTGCGCAGTAGATGATACGACGCCGCTTAAACTGAGGGAACAAAAAATGCGCATAAACCACCTGACTAAGCAAGAAAAAATGCGCACCTGGATGAGTAAACCTCTGCATGGGCGACATCTCAATGAGATCAAACAAGAATATGTCGACAATACAGCGTCGAACTATTGGTTGACATCAGGAAAGATGTTTCCCGAGACTGAGGGTTTCCTACTTGCCATTCAGGATCAGGTTATTCCAACTAAAAATTACCTGAAATATATTGTTAAAGATCCTCAAGTCCAAAATGACAAATGCCGATATGGATGCTAAGCCCAAGAAACCATCCAACATCTTACCGGTGGCTGCCAGGCATTTGTCGGTACTGATTATAAAGAACGCCATGACTCAGTAGGAAAGATTATCAATACGCCCCTGATAGAATGCTTGAAAATGACAACTACAAGCTATACTGGGACCGCACTTTGCTTACAGACCAACCAGTGGCCCATAATAGACCGAATCTCATACTAGTTAATAGACTTACTAGACAAACAACACTTATTGATGTGGCGATACCCAACACCAATAATTTAGGTGTTAAATACAACGAAAAGATCGCCAAGTACAGAGATCTAGAAATACAAATCAGGAGACAATGGAGAATGGAAAGTACCCAGACACTACCTATTGTTCTATCTACTACTGATGTTATTTCCAAAAACCTCCTAGCGAACATAAAACAGCTGGGTCTAAATGAACATCTTTATAAGGCCATGCAGAAAGCTGTACTCCTCGCGACGTCCAGATGTGTACGAAAATTTCTGGGAGATACTCCAACATACCAAGTCACCTAGGGCTCGATAACACGGAAAGAGTCCCACCAGAGCTCAATCCTTTTGATACCGTAGGTATCTGGGATGAGTGAATTTTCCCCTTAGAGGGAGTGTGAGCCGTATGGCTAAATCTGGGAATAAAGTTTAACATATAAAAATATACGTTCTTTCCACGATGTGTTGGACAACTGTCTTTAAAAATACATTAGCAAGTGCCATTTCATGCATTTGTGATAATCTACAAAATCATTCATATTATTTAACTCAGTATTCCGACGATATTGTTTTTCGTGGGTCAATTTTTGTGTCAATTTTATAACCATAAAAAATATATGAAAGTTGTAAAATATCAGCAATTCAAAAAACAAAGTAATTAGGAGAGTAAAGTCCTTCTTGTAGTGTCTATCCATAAGGATATTGGATACTAACATAACTATGCCTAATTTATTGCCTTTGGCACGCACGACAAACCACTGTCAAACTTAACAAGATAGAAGTGCATGTAATCCAGAAGTTAAAGCCTATTGGAGCCAATGGAACTAGTTCCAAAAGTTACTAGTTACGAAATTTCGAGGATTGGGTGCTGCACAGAATATGCAAAACAATGTTGCCGAAAATGCGAATTATGTGCAGGCAATGGTCCAGTTGGTAAAAAAGAGGGCATCCATGGCCATGAAACAATGCAATGTTGGTAATCTTATGAAGAATCAACGATTGATATTGCAGGAAAAAGCTCTGCCTATCCACCAGAAGATTAACAATGAAGGTGAATTTGTGACAAGTGATGGTTGGCGTAATCAATGGAAGCAACGACACGGAATTCGTTTCACACATGTAAGTGGCGAAAAAATGTCTGCTGATACTTCTGGTGCACGAGTATTCGAGAGTTTGAAACAAAACGTATGAAACAAAGAAATTATTTAAAACAGAGGAATTCTTTCTTAAACAAGATTCCCAGAAACAACTTTTTCAAGCATTCATAAACAGTCCGCTTCTGGCTTTAAAAAGAACAAAGAACGTATTACTGTGGTCGTTTGTTCGAATGCAACAGGGAATCATAACACCCTTCTTTTCGTTATTGACAAGTCTGCTAATCCACGCGCATTCAAAAACTTGAATCTGTCCTCCCTTCCGCTCTATTAGGTCACAAATATCAGCGTAGATGGGTTTAGACTTGTTTCAAGAATGGTTTAATTTGAAGTTTGTTTCAAAAGTTAAAAAAGTTGTTAAAAAACATTTAAAAAGTGTAAACTTTACGATCAAAACAGTTCTAGTGTTAGATAATACTCCAACTCATCCTCATGACTGCGATGTAGATGACCGTAAATTAGTTTTTCTTCCAGCTAATGTGAGGAGCATAGTGCAACCGATGGACCAAGGAGTGATCGAAAGCTTGACTTTAAAATGTCCTTTTTACTGTTTCTTTAATCTCGGATAAAACCTTGGCCATGGCCTTGGATGTTGGGAATCTATTTGTAATCCCAAATATCGCATTTTTTTGATGTTTGTCGATACGACAATACAAATCTAAAAAAAAAAAAAAGATATCGCATTTTTACCGTCGAGTTGATACAAATTTTATTTAAAATTTATTTCGGGCGCGTAACTGACTTATAAAATCACCCGTCGCTTCAATCGTTGCTTCTGAGAGAACGGTTTACTCTACACAAATAATGCTAATTAACATTTTTGTTCAAAATTATGTCAGCTACATTTTTTATTTAAAAATTTTTTCAAATTTCTGGTAAATCGATTTTTTTCTTTTTCTCCCCTACGAGGAGCGGTTTAGGGGGAAGCCTGGGGGTAAAAATGGTAAAACTTTTTTGCATCTTTTGACATTCTCAGATCAATTTAGCTTGTTCGCATAAGGTCCAGTGGAATTTTCGTCTCTGACGACTGGAATATGTTAAGTATTTGTACCGGGAGTAATGAACATTCCTTATTCTCACCATTATTTAATCTACAACACGATGTGAATCTAGGCTTTTCCAGAATAAGCTTTCACTTCTTCCTATTGTTTGCCTTTATTTCCCAGTTTCGCGTTCCTAATGTTCTTAGATTTTGTCTTGAATATTAAACAAACACTTTCTCATTTTTTTTCTTGTTGTAAAAAAATAGATATAATGAGATTGTTAAGATCGATAGGCGTGTGAAAAACCGCGAATTTATGATTCGTCGTTTACGCTCGCCAGGTATTATACATGCCTCTGGCTGAGTCCAAAATAAACAACTCGTCGGATCCTAACATGCAACATAGAAAATGAAAGAAGGGATGACGAATATATTAAGATAGAAAAAATAAACAAGGCGACTACCAAAAGGGCTTCCCTTTTCTTTGTCAACCATTTTCCATCTACTCCTGAATGTAGGTCTCTCTTAATTGCTTCCATGTTTCTTTATCTTGCGCCAATTTAATCCACTGCTTGCCTGCCACTGCTCTTATGTCATCTACCCATCTTTTTTGAGGTCTTCCCATGCTTCTTGTTGTCGTCCTTGGTCTCCATTCTAGAATTCTCCGTGTCCACCTGTTGTCATTATATCGGGCTACGTGACCTGCCCAGCGCCATTTCATTTTTGTAATTTGTTTCACAATATCCCTAATCTTCGTTCTACGTCTTATCTCGGTGTTTCTAATCTTGTCTTGCAGTGATATTCCAAGCATGATTGGAATGCTATATTGGAATATTATATTTGGATATTTGTATTATATTGGAAAGGATTGGATACCAAATGTAGATATATAATAAATAAAGCGTGTGAAACATGTGAAAATATGAATCAATAATAATCATTACATCGCAAAATTGAATTGTTCCATAAAAATGTTATTAAAAAAAACTCATGTTATTACCTCTTTCTCTTGCTGCGGCGAAACGTTTTCTTTATTCGCTTCGTCGCCTTTGAAGTAATTCCACTCGTCTTCGGATTCGCTATCAGCTTGGTTTTCCACTAGCCCACTAACATCGTGAACTGTAACAAAAACACCAAAATAAATATTTGTTTGTAGCAATATTAGAAAAATTTATTTTGTAACACGTCTTGGTTTTGTTCCGACAAATTATATTGGCAGATCGACATGAAACAAATAAATAAAAAATATATAATAGAAAAAGACAAAATATAAAACGGGAACCAATGCAACGTGGGATACCGTTTTACCATCAATATTTGTGGTTTAGGATCCATGGGATAGGGTAAAACTGTCTATTTATAGCCACCGCGTCCAGTCCCGTCGTTTGTCGGTAAATTAACACGGTGCAAAGGAAATGGGAAGCTGATATATAGCACATACTTACCCATCCAATCCATCCAACGTAACTAGGGAAGTTACGACCAGTGTCGTGATAATTTTACTATGGAGTAGTCTAACGAAGATATGTTGGAATTTTTATCATTGTATAAATTACTTAACTTAGTATATACTTAGTATTAGTTTTATTGTATAAAATACTAACTCAGATCGCAATATAAGAATGAATGGTAGATCTGGTTTACACCTGTGCAAGATGTAAACTGCCAGTTTTGTTGTAAATGTATTAACGATGAACTAACTCATTATATATTTGAGAGGTTTTTGATATAGGTCTTATTACTGATACAGTTTGGTTGTTCTTTAATATGTATTCCCTCCAATATACATCTTTTATTGAAATTTAAATCTGCAAAATCTGTGTATTTCCGAAGTAGTGTTTGGTTTTTTATTTTGTATATTTATTTTATGTGAAATAATCTGTCTCAGTATAAATACTGATACGTTTTTCGAATGTATGAGAAGTTAGTCACTACATTTTACTTCATAAAGATCTCATTGACTGTCTTTATTTTTCTATCCGACGATTATGTCGGATATTAAGTAATTGATCTTAGGATTGTTATAGAAGGTTTTTTAATGGTAAAGCTTCTTTTTCTAATATGGCTGCAAAATTCGGGTTTTTATATTTTGTTTTAAAATATTTTTTACTTTCAGATTTTTGGTATGATATTGTATTGTATACGATAATTTAATTGCCATATACAAACACTTCTTTTATGTGATATAAGTGTCAAAATTGAAATATCTTCTGCTAGACCACACATCTTTTGTAAACCCGTTCGCAGTTATTGGGTGGTTGGTGATATATTGCAAAGCAAATATGAGTCAAGAAAAGTAATTCTGTTATTTTTTATTTCATGAGTAAACTGTATTTTGCTACGAAATCTATTTAAATTTGCAGAATAATCAACTTTATTATATGGAATACAAAGTAAACACTCATCGACATCGTTTATAGAAAAGTATATTGTAGTTCAATTTAGTTCTAGCTGATGTAAAAACCTTCCATTAATAAGTTTGCAAATGTTGCCGAAATTAGAGAATCCATGAAGCCCATTAGTGATTACCTCGGAAATCTGAGAGTAGTATTTTTGGTTTCGTGTTGAAAAACCTGAAGCTAATACAGAATTTAACAACCTCTAAAAATTAGTCAAGAGGAAGAGAAATAAATTATTTGATGTTATTTCCAAGCAGTGATGCCACTCCTCACGATTTATCGTGAGATCTCACGAATTGAAGACAAATCTCACGATTGACGCCTTATATCTTACGATTGTTAAAATTTTTAGGCTGTTACTAAATCTAAAGATAAATAATGGGTACCAAATAAAATGTATATGAGAAAATCAGCATTTTTAAGGTGCTCTTAGATTGTCACCTTGAAATATTCATAAATCAACTATATTTTTGTACAAAAATGCTTGCACTATTCCAATTAGTATACACAAAATAATATAAACAAAGCTTAAAAGGTTCTTTATTGCTTTGAAAGTGCAAATATCGGTCCATAAACAACTAAAGTTTATGTATATTTTAACAATAAATATCAAGAATAGACGGAATTTTGTATTAAAGGATCAACAGACCAAAATGATTTAAGTGTGTGTTCGAGATATGAAACAAATCAGCAATTGCATATAACAATAACTTTATATTTCATCTTCAATAACTTTGAAATCCTACAAGTACCGATAAAATGTTAAATCCTCAGAAAACAAAAATTAGGTTTATGTATACCATATTATACTTAGTATTCTTGGGTAAAATAGGTTTATAATTTTCATTGAAGTTTAAACTATAAAGAATGTTTATAATCATTGCCTAATATTGAATCGATAAATCCATAGCTTGCAGTATATACCGGGTGGTCCAATAAGCCGATCTCTCGGCTATTTATCAGAAACTGTTCATGTTATAACTTTAGGAGAAAAAATTCCTTAGTAAAAGTGGCCAAGAAAAATCGCTGGAAATAACTTTCAAGATTCTGGATTAACCGCTAGGGGGCGTAACCTGCGAAGAAAATTTTGAAAACCAGTTTTTTGGGAAATATGTCCAATTGTACCAAGTGTTAAATCAGTAAACTAGAAAGAGGCATAAATTCTGCACGAAGTTGTTCAAGTACTTTTTTTTTATTTTTTCAAATAAAGGGTGGGGGAGAGTGGGAAAGTATTTGTGGATAAATACCTATAACTTTGGTTTGGATCAACCGATTTTAATGAAATTAGTGTCATTAGAAAAAGTGTGGATGAAATAATTCACATCTACTATAAAATACTTGCATTTAGTTTTAATAGTTGTAGGTAAAGGGGACTTTCAAACAAAAAAAAATTAAAATTTGTTTTTCTTCAAAATTTTTAATGGAAACACCTATTTATTGTAAATTATAATGGAACTGGATTAAATTCGTAACAAAATGGAGCAAACCGCATGTTAATAGCTTTTGTTGAACTCGAGATATGAATAAAAACTCATAAACATAAGTAAGTTTTCAAAATTTTTTATAACAGAAGAATCTTAATGTTGATACCTATTTGGTAAAAAATAGTTTTTTCCAAACTAAGTAGGCTACGACAATGAATTTGACGGGAAGTTCATATTGTTTATTTATTGACAGCAGTCAAAACATTGTTAAGAAGTGCTATATTATAATTCGAATTAAAGATTGCACTTTTTTCAATAGATAATAATATTGGTAATATTAGTAATTAATATCAAATTGTATGATATGATTGGAATTTATTTGGAATGTCACCAAAATGCCGCTATTGTCTCACGTATATGTTTTGTAGAATATCCTGACAGGAGACATTATGGCAAAGAAGTATTTGAAAGAAAGGCAAAAAGATTAAAAGAAACTGGTAGTTTTTCTCGCCCTTATTTTAAACGACGTAGTACAGTTATGACCGAAGATAATTCAATCAATGTTCTTGCTTTAATTGAACAGAATCCACATGTAAGTAGTCCGAAATCTCTACTTCTTTGCCACAATGTCTCCTGCCAGGATATCTTACAGAATATATACGTGAGGCAATAGCGTCATTTTGGTGATATTCGAAATAAACTCAAATCATATCATACAATTTGATATACTCATCACGAATTATTAGTACTGATAACTAATTACTAATATTACCAATATTAATATCTATTGAAAAAAATGCAATTTTCAATTCGAATTTTAATACATATATCACTTCTTAACAATATTTTGACTGCTGTCAAGAAATAAACAATATGAACTCCCTGTCAAATTCATTGTCGTAGCCTACTTAGTTTCGAAAAAACAATTTTTAATCATATGAAATAACAATGGCCAAAATAGGTATCAATATTAATAGTTTTCTGCTATAAAAAATTTTGAAAGTACCTACTAACTTATTTTTTAATTTAATTTATAATACAGGGTGTGTCAATACTATACTTACTTATGTTTATGCGTTTTTAGTCATATCTCGAGTTCGATAAAAGCTATTAACATGCGGTTTGCGCCATTTCGTTACGAATTTAATCCAGTTCCATTATAATTTACAATAAATAGGTGTTTCCATTAAAAATTTTGAAGAAAAACAAATTTTTATTTTTTCTATTCGAAAGTACCCTCTACCTACGACAATTAAAACTAAATACAATTATTTTATAGTAAATGTAAATTAATCCATCCATACTCTTTCTAATGACACTAATTTTGTTAAAATCGGTTGATCCATACCAAAGTTATAGGTATTTATCCGCAAATACTTTTCCACTCTCCCCCACCCTTTATTTGGAAAAATATAAAAAAGTACTTAACAACTTTGTGCAGAAATTATGCCTCTTTCTAGTTAACTTATTTAACACTTGGTATAATTGGACATATTTCCCAAAAAACTGGTTTTCAAAATCTTCTTCGCAGGTTACGTCCCCTAGCGGTTAATCCAGAATCTTGAAAGTTATTTCCAGCGATTTCTCTTGGCCACTTTTACTAAGAAATTTTTTCTCCTAAAGTTATAACATGAACAGTTTCTGATATATAGTCGAGAGATTGGCTTATTGGACCACCCGGTACATATATAAGGGTAGGTAGGTAATTTCCTAAAATTATATCTGATACTGGTGGTTCCCCTAAAATAGGCCCTTTTCTAGTACACTAATTTTTAAGTATGTACTTATACATTAATTAATATATAACAATACAAAGTATTTAAAATAGTTTTGTAAAATCATTTAAAAACTCCCATTCCTTCAAAATTCAACTGTAGCGAAATCTCACGATTTCTTAAGATTTATTTTTTGCGATCTTACGATTTCTCTTCGACTTCATGTGGCATCACTGTTTCCAAGGCAGTTTCAATTGGCATGTTAGCATATAAAGATTTGTCTTAGATTTTTTTTTAAATAAACTTATAGAAATACCATAAATCCTGTAAGAATTTCATTATTACATGACTCCCAAGAATCCTGGAGTTTTGTTATGGCTATTTTGAGATGTTACATGTTGGACAACCAATGTTACTGATAATTGAAGTAGAATGAAGTTTGAGAAGTCCGTAAATGTATGGCGCAGTGTATCACTGTAAGATGTTGGTTTATTTTTATTTAGGTCGACGTATTTTTTATTATAAGATTTATTACGAAGTTAATTTAATGATTTGATTTTATTTGTAACATTTGATTTTCC